ATCCCATCAATTATCATCCACATAAATTGAAAGGTTTATGTCATCCTCATTTAGACTTTTCCAACCTATCAACAATAAATCTAGCTAGTCTTTGCATTGATACCCCCACAATGTCCCAAAAAGAACTACCTTAGGTAATTGTAGTAGTAGTAGTACTTTGATAATTGAAAACAAACAGTTGGTAATTATTACATGAGTATGCACGAAAGGCAATTTTTTCCGTTCCTTAATCAAGGTTTCATATTTGAATTATGATCTAAAGTTATCTTTGATAGTTAGCGTTATATTTTTAATATAGATATCTTCAAAGGGAATTCATATTTAATCAGCCATACATGAATAGGGGCGGATCTAGGAAGGCCCAAGGGGTGTCACGGGACACGGCTTCATTGGAAAAATTTGCTATATACATATTATTAAAAAACAGAAAATAACATAGATATATAAAATATAGTGTTAATTTTTATACCAAGATGTGCGCGGCTGAGTTGGTCAAGTTTTTATTTCGTCTGAGAGGGACGCGAGTTCGAATTCTTTTGACAGCATTTTATTTATCATATACATTTTAGGAGCTTCAAGTTGTTTGATATATTTTTTTCTTTCTTTTGCTTTTTACTTTTTCTTCTCTTGATATTTTATATATATAAAAAATATTTAACACTATTATTTTTAATGAAATTATTTTCAAAAATGAAAATTTAAGTTAATATTTTTTTTATTTTTTTTAAAAATAAAAAAATAAAAAATAATATATATATATATATATATATATATATATATATATATATATATATATATATATATATATATATATATATATATATATTAAAAGGTGACACGGCTTGCAAAAAAATATGTGTACGCCACTGAACACGAATATCAAATAGTAGGGGGAGCGCAAAAAATAAAAAGTGTTTTCTGTTCCTCGTTGATATAATTACTTATACGAATAGTGGCTTCTGGAAAATTTCCCTTATCATTTTTCCACATCCGCATTCAATTCTTCATGGAGATTTTAAACCATAAGATATCTCTTGGAAAAATTTAGAACATTAATTATATGGAGATGAAACATAAATAGAGACATAAAGTAAACATTCAATGAATATAAAATATATTTTAAGTCATACGTAAAGATAAAATATTCAAAACTCCTCCTAATTAATATTTTCGTCAAAAGCGTGTAAAAGAGAAACACGATAAATAATTTGAGACGGAAAGAGTAACAAGTTAAGTTTGTACTAGAACATGAGACTCAAGTACTTTGGTGGCCTAAAGCCAAAAATAATCGGAGGTCCTAATCTTTTTAATAATAATAATGTTATTTTAAAAAAAATTAAGGTCTGTTCTTCTTAAATTTTTAGAATATAAAGTTGTTGATATATTTCTTAAAAAATAATTATGAGATGCAAAGTTAATTTTTTTTCTTTTATATTAAATAATTTACTGTTTCTATAAGTAGTACTCTTTATTTCAGTTTATTATCTAATTTTTTGACTTGATATGAAATTTGGAGTTTAATAAAAAAAAATAAAGAATTGTTTTGAATTTTATACTAATAATTGAAATAAGATAATACAATTTTTTAAAAATTTTAAAATCCTTTATAATAATATATTATTGCTAAAAAATAAGCCCCTCAAATTTAAGGCATTTGTCTGAATATATAGAGCACCCTAACTCGTCATGCATTGACGAAGACTTTGATTTGCATGCAGTCAAGTGAAACTTGCATTTTATTTGCAAATAAAAATTCACATTGATATAATTGAAAAAGTAAGAGAAGCTAAACATTGTATAATTGAGTGAAACTTTTTGAAGAAAAGCATAAAGATTTAATTCAAAGAAAATAATATCTCATACTACATCTTAATTAAACGGCTATGCGCATACTATTATAATGCATGAGGACCACAAATAGATTTATATTTATCATTTTCTCCATTCAATAATAGTTGTTTATTATGCTAAAAATAGTTATCTAACAATATTTGTCCAATTTAGAAATTCAAATAGATAATTTATCTTGTGTGTCTATTTTACCCTTACTATTAAATATTATTTATTATCTAACATATTTCTGAAAGCATTAAATTTAATAAAGTCAAAGGATAATATAGTAATATTATCCCTATTATTTATTATTTCTTAAGGAGTGTGTCAAGTCAATAGTGGACAACTATTGTTGGACATACTGTATTGATAAAGACTTAGTTTTGCAGTCAAATATTTGCAATAGTGCATTATTATGATCATCTAATTCTGCTTGCTCCAAATTTCCAAAATTTTCACCAAAACTATCTAAATTTCTTCTTAATATAATAAATAAGTACTCTTCGTCTCATATTAGTTATCAATATTATTAAAGATGACCATCATAAAATGCTTATCAATTTAAAAATCAAGATAGCATTGATTTTTTTGTCCAAAAAAATAATTATTTTTGAATGTGATATGAAAAAAATAAAAGGTAAATTAGTAAACAAAAAAAAAATCACCATTGGTCATAGGAGATTATTTTCATTAAAAAAATAGACATGTCGATAGACGCTACCTACAGTAATTGTATTTTTTGTTTCGTTTAGCCAGAAGCATTTATATTTTTCTAAGGCCTTATGTGGTGAGATAAATTCACATATTAATTGGAAAAGTTACTTAAATACACAACACTTCTTTACCTATTCTCAATATTTTCCTACTCTCTTACTAAAATACAAAAATCCTTTATTTTCTCCCAATTCAACTTAACCGGATACTTTATTAGTTTAAGTATCCGCCCATTATTAATTAAAGTATTTGCGCTATTATATTATGCATCCGCCCGTTAATTAAGTATCTGTGCTGCTAACAACTTAATAATTTAAGTATTCGTCCGCTATTAATTAAAGTATATGCGCTGCTATATTATGCATCCGCCCGTTAATTAAGTATCCGTGCTGCTAACAACTTAATAATTTAAGTATTCGCCCGTTATTAATTAAAGTATCCGCGCTGCTATATTAAGTATCCACACTGCTATATTATGTATCCGAAAAACACTAAAAAAAGGGATTTTTGGTAATTAATGAAAGAGTAGGGAAAGGAAGTAATTTCTTTCTTATACTATGTCATTTGCCTAATTTTTACATATTAATTTCATATTTCTCTATTCTATATACAACTCTCTTTTTTTATAGTATATAATACAAGATCATAAGTTCATAACACATGAGGTATATATTTGCGAGGTCATTATTTCTTTTTTTTTAATCTCTCCTAAGAGCTTACATTTTTTTGTTCTCTTGGTGACTCAAATTGACAACTTTAGAATTGAAAGTGAAGGGTGTTTACTATCCGAAACTTCCTCTTGTATATTTGCAAGGTCATCATTTCAAATTCAAATTATAATTATTTTTGATGATTGAGAAAATAAGGACCTATTTTTTCTTTATTCTAATTTATGTAATGCTCTTTCTTCTTTAGTTAGTTAAAGAAAAAGAAGATATTTTTTTATATGTGGTATCACTTCACCTTTAAAATACTCATTTCCCTTAATAAGATGACTTTTAGCTACATTATTACTCTATTTTATTTTAGATTTAATATTTTACAAATCTTCCTTGTTATTTCTTATTACTCCATATCCCATCAATAATTATCCACATAAATTGAAAGGGTAATGTTATCCTCATTTAGACTTTCCAACCTATCAACAATAAGTCTAGCTAGTCTTCTGCATTGAAGCCCCCACAATGTCCCAAAAAGAATCACCTTAGGTAATTGTAGTACTTTGATAATTGAAAACAAACAGTTAATAATTATTACATGAGTGATGCACGAAAGGCAATTTTTTCTGTTCCTTAATCAAGTTTTCATATTTAAATTATGATCTAAAGTTATCTTTAATTGTTAGCGCTATATCTTTAATATGGATATCTTCAAAGAGAATTCATATTTAATCGACCCAACACGAATATCAAATAATAGGGGGAGCGCAAAAAAATATATGTTTCTTATTCCTCGTTGATATAATTACTTAAACGAATAGTGGCTTGTGGAAAATTTTCCGCATTTAATTCTTGATGGAGATTTTAAACCATAAGATATGTCTTGGAAAAATTTAGAACATTAATTATATGGAGATGACACATAAATAGAGATATAAAGTAAACATTTAATGAATATAAAATATATTTTAAGTCATAAATAAGGATAAAATACTCAAGACTCCTCCTAATTATTTTTTTTTAAAAGCATGTAAAAGAAAAATACGATAAATAGTTTGAGACGGAAAGAGTAACAAGTTAAATTTGTACTAAAAGAGGAGACTCAAGCACTTTAGTGACCTAAATTTAAGGCATTTGTCTACACAGAGCACCCTGACTCGTCATGCATTGACGAAGACTTTGATTTGCATGCAGTCAATTGCGACTTGCATTTTATGTGCAAATAAAAATTCACATTTACTTTGAAAAAGTAAGAGAAGCTAAACATAGTATTTTGAAGAAAAGCATAAGATTTTATTTTTAAAAAAATAATATCACAATATTAAGTTTTTCTTTATGAAGCTTCACCCAACACAATTTACTTCATCCCGTGATTACTACATGAATAATGACTTGAAATTTTTTCCTAGGAATTAATAAATGGTATCATTCTTTTTTAACTCACTAGAAAGGAAATAGTGTCACATAAATCGAGAAAAAAGAAATAGATTCTTATTTCTCAATCAGAGGAAATTTTCAAGCACAAATCCAAATTTATTGAAGCTCAGTTTTTAAGAAAAATTCATATTTAATCAGACTCAATACGAATACTAAATAGTAGGGAGAAGGTTCCCCCATAAAAACAAAAGACTTCTACGAAGAATTACATGTGGACGTGGAATAGTGGCTTGTGGAAAATTTTCCTTTATCATTATTCCAAGGTAATATTGATATATGTGATTAATGTCAAAGGTGCCACACTCCTATATAAACTGCCCAATAACTTGTGACAATATCAAACAACTTTAAAAAAAAAAGATGTCCACAAACATGGACTATTTGATCAGATCTTCTTCTGTTTTCTTCCTCCTTTCTTTTGTGACTTATACTTATTCTACCTCTTTTGAAGTCCGAAACAACTGTCCATACACCATCTGGGCGGCGTCGACCCCGATAGGCGGTGGTCGACGCCTCGATTCAGGACAGACCTGGGTCATCGATGCACCGAGGGGCACTAAGATGGCACGTATATGGGGTCGTACTAATTGCAACTTTGATGGTGCTGGTAGAGGTTCTTGCCAGACCGGTGATTGTGGTGGAGTCTTGCAGTGTACCGGGTGGGGCAAATCGCCAAACACCCTAGCCGAATATGCCTTGAACCAATTTAGCAACCTAGATTTCTGGGACATTTCTTTAATCGAAGGATTCAATATACCAATGACTTTCGCCCCGACCAATCCTAGTGGAGGAAAATGCCACGCAGTTCAATGCACAGCCAATATAAATGGTGAATGCCCTAATCAACTTAAAGTACCCGGAGGATGTAACAATCCCTGTACCATAGGTCAATGTGGTCCTAATGACTTGTCCAGATTTTTCAAACAAAGATGCCCTGATGCATATAGCTACCCACAAGATGATCCTACTAGCTTATTTGCTTGCCCTAGTGATAGTACAAATTATAGGGTTGTTTTTTGCTAATGCCAACAATAAAGCATATTTTGCTACAAATGGTATGAAAAATTACCAAAATAATAAGTATCTTAAAAGGTTTGTTAAACTAGTTTATGTTAGTGTGATAATAATTTCTTATGTGTACGTGTGTAATGTAATCAAGTTGTTTCTAATGCTTCAGGCAATCGGTCTTGTATGGATGCTAATTATATATGAATAAATAAATATCCTTTTCAACCAAAAAAAATGTATGCACACTCCCTTCAATTACTTAAATATTTTTATCATAATGAATAAATAATAATATCGTTAATTGCGTGTCGTTATTTCCTTTACTTTAACGACATTTTCTTGTCTTTTGATTTTGTTGGTTGAATGTGAAACTAATTAATGAATTACTTGTACCTCAATGACCTGGTTAACACACTCCTAGTGCTAGCAAATTGGCAGGTCTTAACTCAATAAAATATTCCTTATCAATTTTTGGTTAATTGACTATTAATCCTTATTGATTTGATTTTTGATTTAACCGATATGAATGCTCTTCTAAAAATTTTTTTGCTTTCTCTATGTTTATTTGCTTATATATGCACAACTTCATGCATACAAATCTACAAAAATTACAAACTAAAGCAAATTCAAATAAGCTATTGATGAATGAAGTAGCATTATACGTGGCAATATTTTAAAAAGAAAAATAAAGGCAGATCATAGTTCTCACCGATGAGTGGAACCTCATCAACCCAACGACGTCAAAAAAAAAAAAACGTCAGCACCAAGACGGTCACAATTCAGATTATCGTGAGTGATATCCACACTAACAACTTGATGGGAGAATCATCTACTAACCTGAAAATCAACCGAACATCATTTTAAAATCATGTTTATCATAATTAAGGAAATAAAACCATTTAGACAACCAAGGATTGATTGAGGGTATGTTTGGTATGAAGGAAAATGTTTCAGAAAATATTTTCCAATTTTTCCATGTTTGATTGGCTTAATGATTAGGAAATTGTTTTCCAAATCAACTTATTTTCCTTAAATTTAAGGAAAATGATTTCCCTTCAAAAATTGAGCAAAACATTTTCCAAAACTCTACTTCATTCTTAAATTACAATATTTTTTTCTTACCCTACCCCGTACCCGTACCCGATATTCCTCCCCATAAAAAAAATTAAACTTTTTAAATTCCAATAGGTGGTTGTAACTTGGCTATAACTAACAATTCAAGTACTCTATCAAATTAATTCATCAACTGACTTTAATACTATCATCAGGTTTTCAAATTCCTTTGCGCTGATAGTTTGGCAACTGTAAAACATAGTTCTTTTTCCTTTCTGTTTTACTTTTTTGCTTAAATGGTATCAAAAGATTGTATCCTCTAGAATTAATTATGTAATGTTAATTTCTTATGGTGTTATTGGCAGGAAAAACTCATAACAATTGTAGTATATATATATATATATTAATGCTAGGCATTTATGTCATGCATTCTTGGTCCCCTATTTTAATTAATAAACTTCCTTTTCTTGATGTAATTTTTCGTGGCTGGAAAAAAAAAATTGTTACCCCTTATCATATCTTCCATCTTTGGCGTATGGAGTTTTAAGAAGAAAAAAAAAAAACTGTTGGTTTCAACTGTCATGCAAATAAGGGAAATTTAAGTTACATAATGCAAAAAAATTACTCTCTTTGTCCTAATTTATGTGATGTAGTTTGACTTGACACAAAATTATTTATGTGATGTAATTTGACTTGACACAAAATTATTTATGTGATGTAGTTTGACTTGACACAAAATTTAAGAAGGAAAGAAAGGCTTCTCAAAATTTGTAGTCTAAAATAAGATATTGATGTTTGTGTGACAGTAAAAAATGAGTAGTATTTTAAAGTTAATGTTTTACTAAATATAGACATATATCAATTTTTGGGCGCGACTGACTAAAAAGGAAATTGAGTCATATAAATTAAGATAGAGGGAGTAATTTAGCTATCCATTTATTATCTGTCATACTTAAGATATTTTTCTCTTGTGTTTAAGTATACACATTTGTTTTTCTTTAGCGCCTTTTCATGCAAAAATGATTAGAAAATAATTTTAGAAGTGCCATTGTTGGATAATATTTAGTATTATGATAATAGCAATTATGCTAAGGTTAGTTCTATTATTGTTTTTATCAAATATGGATACCGGACACTCGACGGAAAGTAACATGAGAGTTGACAAGTGAGCAAACAGAACAAGTGCTGACTTTGACAACCACTAAATCTTCTTCAATATTCTTATGAATTTAAAAACAACTTCATGGTAGGCAACTTTGTAGTTTGACATTCTTTGATTCCTTAAGACTTTTTCAAGTAAATAGAATTGATTGTGGAGTTTATATATATGAAGTTCCAGACACACTAGCAAAACCCCACAAAAACAAAAAACAAAAAGTCTTTTACAACCTCAAAAAAAACAAAAAAAAATGGAAGGACAAACAGGACAACAAGAGGAATTATTTGTAGAAATTGATCAAAAAACAGATGATCAAGCATATAGTGATGGTGAAGCAGCATCATGTACAACAGATGGCAATGAAATAGTTAATATTATTGCACGTCTGATCCGATCTTGCAAGGAGAATCTATGCCAAGAAGGTATACATACTCATGGAGAAGGCGAATACAGAAAGTTTTACCTCTACTGAAGATGGATGAATACAACAGACACGAGTATATCCGAGAGTAGTTTCATTAGGACCTTACCATCATGGTAAGACAGAGCTACAGCTAGCAGAGGATTTCAAGCATATAGCCCTTGAAATGTTTGTTTCAGGTAGCAGCAAAGACGTAGCTTATTTCAATAACAAGATACTTTAAGTTGTTGAAAATGCAAGAAGTTGTTATGTTGATGGCTCTACGGACAAGTACAATGATCATGAATTTGCCTTAATGATGCTTCTTGATGCTTGCTTTATTATCAACCACATCGAGCTTAGCACAACAGATACGTATAACAAACTCAGAACCACGAGGCACCATCTTGGAATGTTGGCGTTATCAACAACAATTCGTGACATGTTTTTGCTTGAGAATCAAATCCCATTTTGGATACTGAAGCTCTTGATCAGCTTACGATATGACAAAGATGAAGGAGATGAATTACTCGAGATGTTATTGAATTTCACCCTTTTCGGTGAATATGAACAAAAAGGGGAAATGAGTTACAACCATGTAGAAAGAGCCTCTCCATCTTCTTGAAGCATTTAGAACAAGACTTGTCTCACAACGGAGTGAAGTACGAAACTTTCATCGTACTTGCACACCTCAATGGCTAAAAAGGAAGAAAAGTATAAGCAATGAACGTGTTATCATGAAAAGCTAGCTATATTCACTCCTTTCGATCAGTTACCGATCTCAAAGCAAAAGGTATTCATTTCAAGCCTAGCTGCACTCATTCACTAAAGGACATAAAATTCAAATCGAGATACTTCTATGGACAGCTTGTACTTCTAACCTGGTATGTTTCTATCTACACAAAGGCATTCTTCTTAAACATGATAGCCTACGAGATGTGTCCAAATACAGTTACTGATCGTGCTGTGACATCATACGTATACTTCATGAAATCACTAATCGAGAGTCCAAGGGATGTCAAGGAACTGTGTTCGCAAAGAAAGATTTTGGTATGGTCTTTATTTAAAGACCAGACCTGATAATCAAAGAATTCCAATTTTCCTTTGGTGATATCTCCTCCGATATAGCTTTGATTTGGATGATTCAAAGTCCAGTGTGTACAGAAAGTGTGGGCCTATGTAGGTGTGTGATTGGAAAGTGTCAGAGACTCTTCGTTTTAGGTGTTTTTCGTTGTTTCGGGACTGCATTTCCTCATACTTTAAAGAGTGAACTGTTGCATATTGTTAGCTTCCACTGTTTTGAGCTCTGAATTGTGTTTTAGTTTTTAACACAAGTTTTGGTAATTGTTTAGGACCTTTTGACAGAGTTGTTTCCAGAATTTCCAGCACAGGTCCCACATTACCTATTTTGACTCCAAAAATTGGTTCATCTATACTACTTTAAAAGCATGAACTCCCAAAAATGAATGTTGAATTACTAGAATACCCTCAATTAAAAATACTCTATTTATTTTATTTAATATATTATATTAAAAGTAGATACCTTTTTTACACTAAAAGATTGTGACTTTTTCGATGAGTTGTTACTTTTCTTAAGGATTGTGAATTTTTCAAAGGATTGTGACTGTACAAAATAGTTGTGTCTTATCTGATGGGTTGTGACTATTTCAAAGGGTTATGACTTTTTCGATGAGTAGTGACATTTTTGAAGGGTTGTGACTTTTCTTATAAGGCACAATAAGTACCTATTCATAGTACTATTTGTTAGCTATAAATAAAGGGGTTTCCTCTCACTTTTAAACTACGATTTTTGTAAGGCTTTCTACTCTTTTTCTTCTTAAAATAATTAAGTGTTATTTGCAACAGTTTATTAAGTTCAAAATTCAATGAAATTGGAAGTACCACATAAGAAAGAGTTGGTGAACAAATTGTAACAAATCATTCATCAATTTACAATTATATTTTCCTCTTACGATTTTCATCATACAAATACTTCAATATGATTTATATCATTTTAGATAATTGATAGCCTTTTAATTAACCTACATATTTTATTTTTAAAAAAATACTAATTTCCTACAAATAGTCACAACAATTTCTACCTTCATGTTTATTCGGTCATAAATCACAACAATTCACTCCTTATAAATTTTTGGTGATCTCTTTTCTGTAACAATTTGAGATCATTTAAAATTTTCATACATAATTCATCCCAATCCATTGACATGTTTCGCCAAAGCTCTTAGAATTGGAATTTAGGTATTGTATTTCTATTAAAGAAGAAAAGAAGAGAACAAAGAAATGTGCAATTAGCTATAAATTTTGCTTCACACAGAAAACCTCTATATATAGTGCACAAGAATTTTCATTTCTTTTGTATTTTAATTCGAGATAGAAGTTAATAATTAATGTTAACATAATGAGTGAACAATGACGAATACAAACATTGTAGATTATTTTTTTAATTAAATAAATAGATCAAATTGTGGGAGAGACAATAACAATAAACAAATACGAAAAAGGCACATGACTAGAGTAAAATATTTCTTCTTTGTTTTTCCTTTTATTATTCTTTTAACCTCAGACGAAGGAGTTTCTTCCTCATTTTGGAACACTAAGGTTA